GAGTATGTTGAGAATAATGTAGTTCAGAGTCGTTACTGTATGATGTATATGCATATAGACCTGAAAAAAATTGGATGCTTGATTGATCTTTTTTTAATTTGCGTATTTGATGTTACAAAGTATCTGGTCTTATTCCCCACGTTAAGAAAATCTGAACTGTTCTTAATGGCTAGATTAAGAAAAAATTGTGACAGATTATATTTCTGTATTTTTGGCTGGAATTTTGAGTCTGAAATGACAAACTGGAGGAAGATTTCATAGAATACATCTGATTTGACTGAGCTTCTTCAACTTGCAATAACTGGAAGGTGACAAGACAACTTTGCCTCACTGGCTGAAAACAATGAAGAGCCTAAGAAGATCAGGGTGGGGCTGAGTGCAGTTCAAATACAGCTATGTATAAAATTTTCTTCTTCTTTTCCACAGTAGTACAAACTAGCCCTAAAAATCAGTTCTTCTGACAATAACAGAGGAAACATCTTTTTGAACACTTGCACTTTTTTTGAAGGGATATCCATTATGATTTGTATGTGCTGAATTTCTATCACATTAAAAAAATTACAAATATGAATGTCCTATATTAATTTTCATACTTCATATCAGAAGCACAAAACTGTAACTGTTTTTCTGGAAGAAAAAAACATAATTCTACTCATCTTCTACAGTCATGCAAGAACAAGAAATCCTAGTTTATGATGCTTGTTGGATGGTGAACTGTTACAGGTGAGGGAGCTGATGTGTAGCATGACCTGAGGCCACTTCATAGTTCATCTTTCCTTATCTTCCATTTTTGTCATATGCTTTGCCACATTTTCCATCCAGTCAGAATATGACACAGAGTCAGAAGAAGGAAAGCAGTTGAATTCCAGAAGAGTAAGGGGCCTGGCTTCCATCCTGTTATAGACAGCGCATTAGGACACACGTCTGAAACGTCTCTGTTTAATGTTCTGTATGATATGCTTGCAGATCACAAATCTTCATCTGTTTCACATATATGTATGATTTTATGTGTTTGTGTGTGTATATATATCTCCAAATATATTTGATGGTGAGGAATGTGGATGTTCTGGAGAACCAAACCCCAAACTTGGTATACAAGGGATGGGAGGAAAGTTGTAAACAAACTATTAAGTGCACCAACATGCATTGATTCTGGCATCCTGGCTGTATTCTATTTCAGACTCTTTTGGCAAAAATATAAGCCATGTCTAAAAGCCTGGGCTAGACAAATAAAAGCTGCTTTTGGCCCACCCTACAAACAGTTTGGCCATAAGCCAGCTGTGGTTCTTAAACCATATGGCCACATAAGCTCAGTCATAGAGCTGTGCTAATAAGCTTGTCATCCATAGCAGTTCTCCCTGCAGTGACACCCTGGAAACTCATAAAAAGTTATTCATCCTCTAATCACTTTTTTATTCTGCTCTGGCCCCCCCGTCCTTGAGGCGCTACTCTGTTCTCTAATGTAATCTCCTTTTCTTATTTGTGTGCACATACCTTTGCATTGTTAGGTATTAAAAAGCATGCTGCTTAAATGGACCCACTGTCTACTACCCAGGGGTGATCTAGACTGCTCTCTGCTTTTTATCATACTATTCTGAAATGCTGGGTAATCAGCCATCTTCATTAATCATCCACAAATCTTGGCAGCAGTAGGTTCTTTTTACTTTCTTCCAGATCATTGCTAAAGATTTCAAGTGTTAAACTGGAAAGGATGCTCTGTAGATGCTGCTAGATAGTCCACTCGAAGTTTCATGTTGACTGATTTCTTTTGCTTTCTCTTCAGTTAACTAGCTTGTAAGCTACTTTATGTGTTCTCTAGTGATCACTTACATGGAATAAGTGATGCTGTTAGCATGAGAGGGGAGAGAGAAAAACAAGCAGGTTTAACAAAGGATATAAAATGGAGCATATATGAGTACTTGATCTGGAGGTTTTGGTAGAGACTCATAATGTTTCACTTTGGTAGGCTTGTACATCTGGTTATCTCTTTTATCATCAAAATTACTTCAATCTTATGTTTTGTGAATGTCAAGTCCATTTTCTATACCTTGAGTATACTATTTTTTGTACTATCTGCAAAATATATCTGTAATTACCTGAGGTGTGTGAATTTGCTCTGAGTATTACTTGGGGTATCTTCCTTCTGCCTAGGGCAACTGTGAAACTCTACCATGGTAACTGCAACTTTGCTGACACTTTTTGTAATCCAGTGCTCACTGTTAATCAAATTTATAGCAGTACCTTAGGTGTATAAGGTACATAGGTGTATAACAAAACAGTCCTCCTGTCCAAATATTCTGTGTCATATGAGCGTGTATTGTAATTGCCTAGCAATAATCTTTGCCTCTTGTAGACCATGACAGCTGTGTAATTCCTTGGGAACGTTGTGTAGGAACTAACATGACTGATAACTGTATTTAATAATTTATGTGGTGTGCTTTGAGAAGCATAGCATATATAGGTTTGTGAAATATTTAGTCTTATTCCATAATAAGATATGTTCATTTTACTTCTTTGCATTCCTTGTTTGTTTTGGTTTTTTTTTTTTTCCCCTCCCCTTGTTTCTCTGACTGGTTATAAATGAGCTTGTTCAGCTACACAATTTCCTTAACACTCTTAAGTTTGGATTATCCTGTTGGCTAATTTAGCATAAACTGCAGTTGTTCACAAGTCATAATTCTGGCCTCTAAACTGACACTTTAAAAATGCATTCTGTGTTCTTTTATCAAGAATTTTGAAGTATAACTGTTCAAGACAAACGACTATTTAATTGTCACATTAATTGCTTTATTCTGTTTTCTGGAGCCTTCAGAATAATACAAAAAGTTATTTCAAATAAGGTAAGATCTACTTGAGATTCTCTGATTTTCCTCTGCCTGCCTGCAGGGAGAGGTTTATGCTCTAAGCAGGCCATGTAGGCCAGATTCAGGGGAAGAAAAAAAAAAATCATAGGAAGTGGGTGACTCCAAGGGCAATTTCTCAATAAGGCTGAATTCTCCTCTTTTTCTTCTGACTCAGTAGTGAGTTGCAGCTCAAGTACTAATCCTTAAAATGGAAAGCTCAACTGTTTAGAGGTGGTGTTAGCTGTATTACAAGAGGATTATCACAAAGAATGTCATTGCGTGGTGAGCCTATCGCAGTCCACTCAAGCAAATCAGGTTATAGATTATTTTTCCGTAAGTAGAGCTCAGTTGTAAAAGTTCACCAGGAGCTGCTTTTGTCGTACGGAGTTACTAAACATCTCCAGAGCCTTTGCAGTAGTGTTCTTGAGCACATGTCCTCCAACAGTTTTCCACAATCGCTCTCACTTTCTCGTGAACTCAGGAAAAATACAAGTTACTTAGGCAAGTTTAAAGGAATGCTTTTCCTTTAATAAGAGAGAAGGGCAGCCAAGCTCCAAATAAGCTCTGGGAAGATACGATGTCCTTCTTACCAAAGTATGCTGCAGTTTTATTAGTGGAATATCCAGGGGAAAACATAGATTACTTCCTTCAGAGTAGGAAAGGGACATTCCAAAAAGGATGGTATAAGCAATTAGCAGCTGCTGAAACAGAGAGAGCATCTGGTTCTGTTAAATGTCCCAAGTAACTGTTATAATAGTCTCAAGTATTATTTTGCTTCAGATGACACAAATGGAAAATTATTTCCTACCTGGAAGCTTAAGCTAAGAAAGTGATGTCAATCTTGCTATGTGGAGGTCTCCAATCACTCCTCCATTTCATGAGGAAGCAGAAAACCTTGATGGTAGTAAACACAAGAGTTGACTGAAATAGTGGATTTCCTACTTAAATATGAACAATTCCATTCTGATACTTGATAAGTCTATAAAACTACGTTTACTTTTTCATTAGGTATTTCAGAGGCAAGATGATAATCAAGTTCTGTAAAGTTATTTGTAGCTACTGTCTTGTTATTCGCCCAGTGCAATCAGTTCCTGAGTGAGTAGTCAATATCCACCCCAGTCATTAGCCCTGCTGGGGGGGAAGAGAGAGTGGACCTAATGACCTCCTCTGTTCCTTGCAACCAAAATTATTCTGCAATTCTAAATGTTTACTTCTGTATCTAGGGTCTTCTCTAAAGAATATTTTAACAGTAGTTTGTATTCATAATGAAGATTTTCTTAGATGAAAATGGTGTTTTAAAAAGGTCATTGTAAATTTGAAGGAAGCATGGGAAAGTCATTTGAGTGGCTTTATTTTCTCCCTGACCCTCCACATTACCTTTCCAGTACAGGAGCATGAACATTTAATCTATGCCAAAGTGAACATACTGATGATATTTCGTCTTGCAATGTTAGGTGAAGGCTAGTAAACTGACTCTTACCCGTCTCCGTAACAGAGTCAGAAGGACGCCACTGTTGCAAACAGCCAGAACTTGCTCTGAAAACCGATGTCTGGCAGTCTGTCCTGAGCTGAGAAATTCAGAGTGCGCAAGCTTAACTTTGCTCCCCCAGTGCTGTCTTGTGCAGGTTACATGGTGGTGCAGTGCACAGTATCAGACAAATTGTTTTTCGGAGAGGGTACTTCTTAAAGGGCTTGCTTAACTGAAATGTGATCACTTCTTATCAGCTTCTTAAAGCTTTATGTATATTATTAAGTATAAAAACAAAAATGCAACTGATTTTTTTCACTCCAAACTGGAAGAAACAGTCATTTCTCCACTTATTGAGATTTATTGTCTTCTATGAATTACATTTTACAGTGAACTGTTCCATCAGTGTTTAAAAATGCAAAATCATGGCTGAAAATGCAGTGTATCAGAACTGCTCTTCAAAACTTCATTAGTGGAAGAAATACTTAAATATTATGATGCTGTGTTGTGGCATGGGAATCGAGGTTAAGGCTGTGAATTACTAGTTGCCCACTTGAATGCTTATACGCCCAATTTTTAATTGGATTAATTGAAATTGGATTTTGAAATTAGAATTAATTTAAATTAATTAGATCTAACTGAAAAGCCTTCTGTTGGAAAGTAAATCACTGGCTCTTCATGTATTTCAGGTAACATTCAAGGAGCAACAATAGTGGATGCCCTTGATACACTATACATCATGGAAATGAAAGAGGAATTCAAGGAAGCCAAGGAGTGGGTTGAAAAAAACTTAGATTTCAATGTGGTAAGTAGTGTTGCTGATTAACACTTAATGCTCTGTTTAGTCTCCAGGGGCCAATAGAGGACTGGGTTTAATGTTGCAAGCATGATAGAAGGCTACAGAATTTAGATCATTGATAGATAAAACAAGGTAGGAAGCAGAAACATAATAAGCTTACGGCTCTGCTTATATGCAGTTTTTCAATCTGAGAGATTCAGGTAGATAGGAGGCAACGAGCTGGATTGAAGGAAGGAAAAAGGAACAGAGTATTTACCATTGTAAAGTAAACAACAAACTTTTCAGCCCTTTTGGATAGAAGAATCGGGACACTTCAAGCATTAATTTTTTAGTTACGTAAACACTTTACATTTTTGCTTTGTGAAATCTTCTACAAATTAGACTTGCATTTAACGAAAGCTACACACCATACATAGCATTTAAGTTCCTTTGTGTATTCTAGTAAAGTTGAATCCCATGAGTTAGGCTGAACTGCTGGCACAAACTCAGCTGCTTTAGTCTTATGAGGTACCAGGTCATCAGAACTGCATGTACAAATCATCCTATTAGCTCTCAGCTGCATATTTACCAGTTAAGTTCATTATTAAAGTTTTTATTCTAGAAAGGCCCTGAACAGGCAAGAACTCTGCAAAACTTCAATTAAATTGAGAAGTCCTGGTCTTTTTTTTTTTCTTCTTTTCTTTTGTGGGCCAGAGTATGTATTGTAATTGCTGGGTACAGAGAGCTGATGGAGTACCTCTGCTGATAGGTGTAGTAAAGTAGAAAAGCATTGTAGGCACGGTACACTGAGCACTTAAAAGCTCTTGTAGTTGGCGCGTGTAATGGTAGAAACACTTTCTGAAAACAAAGTACTCTTTCTAATACGTTATGCAAAAGTCAGGATTAATTAACTTCTTTACATGCTTGAGAATTAATTATCATTTTAAGGAGGAGTTAATAAGAGCGCATATTATATAGCTTATATAAGCAACAATTTAGTGTGCATTTATGTTTACGTTAATAATGTAAATACAGAATATTAAACTGTGCTTCCGAGTAGTGTCAGATGTCTGAATGACATGCTAACTTTATCTTGTGTATAAGATTTTTTTTTTTAAAGGAATTTTTGTAATATTAAATTCCTGTCTTATTAGCTTAGCATTGTTAAGAGGTTTAAAAATGTAAGAACAAAACATCATAGAAAATAGCAAACTCCACTTTAAAGGAAGAGCTAAGCTCCGCTTGGAGGAACATCATAAAGCGCTGTAGAGTAAGTTACATTAATAACACTAAAATCTTTGGTTTTACATAAATCTTGCTATACTTTGTACTGGAAACTCCTACTTCTAGATAGTATTGCCTACAATTTCAGCTCCTCTTGTTAATTTGTGTACTTTTTAAAATTATGTAGCACTTATTCTTTCTCAGTAATGCTTAAAAGCTAGGAAGTCTTTCAAAATGTCTGAAATTTTGTATTGCATTAGTCAGTCAATGCAGCAATCCAGCAGATTTACCAAAACTACTTTACAGATAATGCTGATATGCATCAGGAACAACATCTTGTTCCTGATATTCCTGTAAATAGCTGCCTTGAGTTCAACACTTCACAAAATTATTTTCATAATACTTCATAGTCATATAGAATTGAATTTTACATTGGCATCAGTAATGAGTAGAATTTTTCCAAAGTGGAACGAGGAAATGAAAATAAATAACCGCAACACCAACTTTAATAACTGATGCCAGTTTATTTAGTGGCTGAATTGTTTGAAGCTACTCAACTTGTACTGTTCTTTAGTTTTCCACTTTAAATATAAGTTCTAGTTTCAAATGCTGCTTTGTATTTGTATCCTATAGTTTAAGGTTGGAAATTACTTAACACAAAGAACAGCAGAGCCCTCTCTTTTGTGTTTAAGCATTTATCATATATCAAGCATTACTTGACATTTTCTGCATTAATGTTTTGTACACTCTTACTTGTTCCTGTTTTAGAAACCTTTCTCCCATGAAAGTGATTTAGTTTTTAATAACTGACACGCTGACATATCCTTAAGTGTTATTTCTTGTCAGTAGAATAAAATGTGTTTCTGTTTCTGGTCATTTCCTGGGCAGTGACTGCTTAATCAGCTTTTGGGGAAGCGTGTTTGGCCTTTATTTGTATAAATAGGATTAGTTTTTCTCTCCATTTAATCTTAGAACTATGCTTTTTAAATCTTAAATTTTCTTTAAGACGTTTTTTACAAAAATAGCTGTGACTGTATTCTGTGGCAGAATCTTTTCTCTTTATATTCCGCATCAATGCAGCTGGATAAAGCAAGTTTTCCTCTCTAGAAGTTTGTAATACGTCAGATATTCATTTTACGTGTTCAACTATTTGGCCAGCACTCGATCATCTCATCACCTGACCATAAGAGTTTCCAAATGTCACTTTGTAAAGTAGGCACTAGTTTATCCACATAAAAGGATTTATGGAATAAAGATGACTTAATGGGAAATGGCATCATCTCTTCACGTTAGATTTCAGTCCCTCAATTCAAATAATTAGTTGTCAGGGTTACTCTTGTTGACCTTTCTGAAGAAAGCAAACTGTTTTGATTTCAAAGGAAAATTCTAGATAACTAAATGCCACCTTTCTCAGCAAACTTGTGAATTTTGGTAAGCTTGTGAGTGGACGTGTTTGGAAGCTTCCCCTTTGCAGTATAACATGCTTAGACTATTTTTATTCTAGCTGGAGCTGGTAGCCCTGTGATTTTATAACTGAGATATCCACATTGCAATGCTTGGAGGTTTTTTCTCTCATAACTGCTGAAATTCCTCATATTTGATACCGGGCTGAAGTTTCAGCCAAACTGAGTAGTGCATCAGGAATGAAGTTGCATTTTCTGATTCTGTCAATATTTTAAGAGATTTAGACATACTCGTACCTTTGGAAAGAGTCGATATTTAGCAGTGGCTAAATCCATGGTCTTTGCATCATGGATGTGTGCTCTGTTTTCCATTAAATCACTTCACCTCTGTGGGGGTGTATCTTTGCTCTTCAGTTAATATAGCTGAGGATTTGGTCTGACCTCCCCACGCATGCTGCTGCCCGCACACCCTTTTCAGAGTGCTTGTGCACAGCCCTGCCCAAGGCTGCGCTGGGCCAGGTTGTATGTCAACACGTTGCAACGGAGGAAAAAGGAGCCAGTCTTTCACGGGATCACTAGGGAGCTTGGCTGTTTCCTACCTACAACTACACACTGCTGCGCTTCCCTGTTTTTATTTTTTCCTTATTTGCTTTAGGACCTGTACGCACACAGAGAATTCATAGCTCTCTGAAAAAGTTTCTGTACCACCGCCCAACTTCTGCTTCATGCTGGGGAGGAAAAACCTATCGGTCTCCACAGCGCAAGGGGTGAACCACAATGAATCTATACTTGGGAAGAGAGATTGGAAGAGGGATCTTAATGAGATGGATGAAAAGGTCAGGAGTCAGGGAGTAGTGGTGCAGGAGCTGAGCCACGTTGGCACAGCAGTGAAGGGTTGGGAGTTGTTAAGTACTGGAACTGATGGTGCTTTGCTTCTATACCCAGACACACCCCAACTTCTTTAGGATGAGAGACTAACTGCTCCGTCCCCCTCTTCTTCAGCCCTGCTAAACTCCTTCCCCACAAAAGGACAGTCTTGCCCGTACTGCATACTGGGAACAGTCCTTGGCCTACATGGTGTCCTAAAGCATGCCTGGACGTTGGCTGGAACAACAGGGGCCTAAACCAGACCAGAAGGTGCTAACAATTAAATGGTATGTGGGACAGTGCTTGAATTCAAGCCCTGACCCACTGATCAGCTGTCTGATGTGGGTGTAGTCAGGCAGGACCAGAATGGGAACAAAGTATGGAGCAGGAAGCCATGCGCTTGTTGGGAGAAGAGAAAAATGGTTTCTTCTACCAGAAGATTTCTTAAAGGTGAATTTGGATTCAAACTAAAATAATCTTCCTATTGGTTATTAGTGGATTTTGCTTTGTTTGCCTCATCCCTCTCTTTTTTTGGTCAAAATGGAGGATGGCAGGAAGTTACGATTGCTCAGTCAGATGAAAGTGGCAGTGCTCTGTGCAATTTTTCTATCTATGTGGATATAATTTAGTTGACTTTAGTTGACATTTTGTGCAAGCACTGACTCATCGTGCATTATCCATCTCATCACAGATACCTTCCCTTGTTAACTGGATCAGCCTAGGAAGGAGTTGATGTTGTGCTGTGGGGAAAGTATGAAGAGCGTTTCATTGTTTGCTCTCAGAGATAGGTACTAAATGAGTTGAGGAACTGCATAAAGAGAAGGGAATGAGCAAGACAGCAAGGATACATTCAGTCTTACGTCCTGCTAGCACTCTTAAGCAAAGCTGTTTACAGTGGTCAGTCACTGTATCTGATTCTATAAGCCACCCTGAAGCTTGAAGGCTTAATTACCAGTTCTGATTTTCGTCTTTGTACTTAGCTTTGCAAATTTGAGTATCTTTTAAAGAAGCTTTGTGTGCAGCTTCATGCAACGTAGAATTTTTGCGTGTAATATGTCTACTGTTTTGGGAGCTAGAAAAGAGTGGAAAAAGTATAGAAACTTGAAATTATGTTTATCGCTACTGCCAATCTACTATAGATTAACATACCCCTTTTCCAAGATCCTACAATATCAAATATTATTTGGATCTAATTATTAATGCTTCCAGCATTTATCTTTAGCTCAAATCTACCTGTGGTGTGGCAGTCAGTAACAGGACAGACTTTTAGAATCCAGATTGTTTATTTCAAACTTCAGCATTTACAAATTTAAATCCTACTACTCTCAAACTGTAGGTGTTATGATTGACTGTAATTATATTTAACAGTCCATAACCAAATGTTCTGGCTTGGAGGCAGATGGTTTTTTGGCGCTTTATTCTTGGTGGTTTTTTCTCTTTAAGTGAGAAAGTCAGAAAGTTTCCTAATATAACAATTTGCAACAGGATAGCTTTCCTATTAAAAAAAAGAAAAAAAGGCATGTGTGAGGGGTG